AAAATGGTTTAGTGATTGAAGAAGTAATTTGGTGATTCGTCTCTTTGGTTGAGGGCTGCTGCTCTTTATATAGTATAGTATCGTACGTACACAAGACGTGTACTATAGAGAAACAAAGAGAGCAGCAGCCCCCTTGGCAGCCCCACCACGAGAAGGTAGAGAACATGAGACCGCCTGAAACACACGGATTAGACTCGTGGAGACTTCCATCATTGTGCGCGAATCAGTTTCGAATGTTTGACACCCACTCTGATCTCCCTCATCGTACTTGAGGCCCATATGCACGCTCGTACTCGACTGTGGCCAGATTCATCCGAAGAGAGCCTCGACATCACAGTCTTGCGTACATGGCAAAGTTAGACCTCGTTCCTCAGGGCTGAGGGGTCATGTTACTAATGGTTGGCTCTCAGGAAGTATCTCTATAAACTATAAGATGGGTAGTGTATCTGCACGCAGGAAGTTGGAAACTATCTATACTTACTAGGTAGTCTGGGCTCCACCATTGAAGAACTGAAAACACACAACAAAGCCTCCCTCTCTGTTTATCTACTATACATACCCGGTAGTCTGGGCTCCACCATTGAAGAACTGAAAACACACAACAAAGCCTCCCTCTCTGTTTATCTACTATACTTACCCGGTAGTCTGGGCTCCACCATTGAAGAACTGAAAACACACAACAAAGCCTCCCTCTCTCTGTTTATCTACTATACTTACCCGGTAGTCTGGGCTCCACCATTGAAGAACAGAAAACACACAGCACAGTCTCCCTCTCTGTCTATCTACTATACCTACTCGGTAGTCTGGGCTCCACCATTGAATAACTGAAAACACACAGCACACACTCCCTCTCTGTTTATCTACTATACTTACCCGGTAGTCTGGGCTCCACCATTGAAGAACTGAAAACACACAACACAGACTCCCTCTCTGTCTATCTACTATACTTACCCGGTAGTCTGGGCTCCACCATTGAAGAACTGAAAACACACAGCACAGTCTCCCTCTCTGTCTATCTACTATACCTACTCGGTAGTCTGGGCTCCACCATTGAAGAGCTGGAACACACAACACAGTCTCTATGTTTTCAGGCAAAGATAATAAACCCACTATAAAGTCTAGGTATAAAACAATAGCTTCTTATAGAATCTTATTTCAAATCCCAGGATCTCTAAGCGTAAATGTGAATACATAGCGTCAAAAACAGAAAGGCTATACTTGGAATCTTGTATATGATCGGAATTCAATTGCATAAATAGAAACAGATTAATCTACCACTTCCCCAATTGAACAACACAAGAAATTAATAGCATTTAATTAGATTTTTCTCAACCAAGCAATGGTTGTCTCGTGTTTTAAGACTTTTATATATTTATAAGGAAAATTTTAAATTTAATGATGTAACTGTAAATAAAATTTAAAGAATATCTCTATATGTAAATAATATTTATGAATCTTTCTAAGTTACTTTCTGTGTATCTTTCCATGTTGAATATTTTCTTTGTTATATTTGTATGTACATTTAGCGCAAGTGTCCCTAGGGGGACATAGCGTTTTGAATTGAAATAAATAAATAAATAAGGCAATAACGTGCCATATATATATATATATAAGAAATAGAAGCATGCAATTCCACCCTCTTCATTGTAGCATTTATAATCAGAATCGTCCAATACAGTATTAGAGCTCTGAGAAGCGGTCTGGTAGATTAAATTAGCGAAACCGCTGGGAGGGTTCACCACTGATGAGCCAAGTCCTCCCAATATATTTTTTTCATCGCAGAAAGGACAGTAGAAGTTTTGTTTTTTGTTAAAAAATAAACCTTCGTGCTTTATAAAGCTTCCATTTCTTACTTTTATATATACATATCTTCTTTCAAATAAGTTTACTCAGATAAAGGTATATAGGCCCGTTGTGGAGTTCTCAATACACCTGCCATCATAATTATTGAATAAAATATAAAATATACTTTTTAATACAATAAAACGCGGCTTATGATTGTAAAACGACATTTGATAATTATCCCGCATGTGTTTCTTTTGAACGAAAAATAGAAATTTATTTTAAGGAGAAATAACGATTCCCATCCCTGTAACTTTATTTTTCCGTTTATCATTACTCTTCACAATTCATACTTTCATACTTCATCCATAAGGTTAGAAATAATCGTTATTTCTCCTTAAAAAAATTTCGATTTTTTCGTTCAAAAGAAACACATGCGGGATAATTTTTAAATATACCTTGTTATATATAGAGAGGAGTGAAATATTTCATATAGAGAGAAGGTCTACAATTCTCCAAGATAACCTTTGTTACTTTACCTTTCTGTTATATATATATTAATCTTTAGTTTGGCAACGCCGATTATTTATCATCATCTGGCAGCCATTCTATTTAATATATTTTCATTTTGAAATAAACAATAAGTTTTGTTTACTGAGTCTCTTTATATTTTTATATAGTCTAAATAATAACTAAGCTTATAATTAAATAATATCATTATGTAATCCAAATACAAAACATGGTGGCTGAGAAGTAGTTGAGAAATATTCATTTTATTCGATTAAAAGGTTTTTTTTTTCAACTTCGATTTTCCTTCAGCTTTTCACCATTATATAAAAGATTCCCGAGAAATCAAGGAATGGATATTTCAGGAATATTCTAGGATTAGCCATTCTGGTCGTTGAGGTACAGCCACACTGACGAGAGCCATCAGCTCTTTCATCCTAACATGGATAATATTTATGAATCTTTCTAAGTCGCTTTCTGTGTGTGTGTATCTTTCCATGTTGAATATTTTCTTTGTTATATTTGTATGTACATTTAGCGCAAGTGTCCCTAGGGGGACATAGCGTTTTGAATTGAAATAAATAAATAAAAATAAATGGATAGAATTTCTTGATTATCACCCAGACTAATCTTTTTATTAGCTTTATTATCTTTATATAATTTTTCCTGTTTATAAATATCATAATACCATTAAGGTATTATTACTTTTTTTCTTGCATTTATCCTACATTTATGCTTGGGGGCATGTACGACAGTTGTATTCCTTCTTTTTAGTGCCAATAAAGCGATAACTTTAGCTGCAATCCCTTCGAACTCACATGTGTATCTTTGTGGCATCCTGATTAGCTAAAGTACACGAACAGCTCTGGGTACGACGCAGCATTTGGTGTAAGAAGTGGGATTGCAGCTTAGTTAATTTTAATTGAAGATTTTATTTTGGCTTAATTTAAAAAGAAAAATGGAAAACTAACCGACTTCGAAGTTGAAAAAATCAAGAAATTGCTCAGTCTATTGAACCAGAAAGTAGATGAGTTCCGAGAAGACGTTAGATCGATTAAAGAAGGGATTACTCCATTGGAATCTAGATTGAGCCGACTCTCGAGCATAATCGGAATGTCAAACGTTTTTTCACACCCATTTCTTGCGAAGTTAAGGTCAATGTACACCAGCCAGAAAATCCTGATGGCTTTAAAAAAAAAATCACAACAACCAATAGCCCACGTACTCAATGTCTGAGGAGACAAAAGACGAGTCCAGGTGATGAAGATCCCGGCAAGGCCATCACAACAAAGACCATCACGTCGGGAGACGTCGTAAGTGGACTGCCAGAATCTACGCTAGAAGATTCTCCCGTGGTCCCGAAGTTCGAAGAGTGTCAACAGCAGTAAATGATCCAGACTGGTTGTGTAGCGGAGGAGGGCGAGCTGATCGCCTCCGACAACGGCTGTGGCACGAGTGTTTTGTACAAAATCAATCGGAAAGAAGGCGAATGCGGAAATTCAACTTTTGGGATGCATTATGAAATACTCCAGGAAAACAATAACGATTTTGGTGAGCTGCAGTGCGACAGCGTGGCTGAATTCTGCGACAGTGACGGACTGTCAGGGACTACAGCGGGATCCAACTGGACGGGACGGAGCTGTGTGCTCCGTGGAAGTTCGACAAGACAGGATGGTCGAAGCACCCCAATGTTGGAGCTGGCGACCCGACTGAACGGGATAGAGCATTGCATGCTCTGTGGAAGTCCGACGACAATGTCTGTGACGCGGAAGTCGCGCGCAATGTGTCAGCGCCATGGTCTGCAATACAAGCTGAAAAGATGTGCCAAGAATGTGTACCTATCATCTTCGTTCCTTCGCCCGACGAGATACAGATCCAACAGCCACCGCCTAGGAAAAGCTCTACCGACGTTTAGACTACCACGGGATCCGACACCTCCAGAAGGTTTAAGAAATTCTCAGCCCTGTGCAAGGTCGGCACGAAGGGCCCAGGTTTGAAGGGTTTGGAAAGAGAGAGAGAGAGCTTCTAGAGCAAGAGAATGGGAAACCGAAAGAAGAAAGGAACTTTCCCAACCACCTATGGGAGTTTAACATGAACGAATGCGTGCTGGGAGGCCACGATATGGGCAGCGTGGATCAAGTGAGCGAATCCACTGTAAAGATCGGCGATCTACAGCCCCGTCGTGAAAGGAAGCGGTGAAAGCGCAATACAAAAGATCACAACCCTTTGTACATTGCGGCTACAGAGTGTTCACAAGGAGAATTCAAAATATCAGATGAAAGCATCGTAGGCAGTGAAATATGGCCGACATCGTGTGGAGAACCACCGCCCTGTGCTAGACAGCGAGACCAATCAATGGCGTCGGCACTGGTTGAGAGTGGAAAGAAAGCCCGAGCTGGAATGTGGTTCTGCAAACAAGGGTTGGTGTTAATCCTGCCGCTACGCTTCTGGGAGGCTGACGACCCTCATGTGGCCAGAGACGTCAAGGAGATCAAAGGGCCACCGATCAGCGCTGCTGGTGAAATCAGTCCTTTTCGGGACGAAAAGTATTGAGAAGGGGGCTGTGAAGCGGTACAGCAAAGAAGATTAAGAGAATATGTGGGCAAAGCCGGTAGGGAAGGAAGGCGCCGAGATAACATCGGCTTTAATGGGGTTTGTGCGCCGAGAGGACATCGCAGTCAAGGAGAGAAGTCGTCGAGAATAAATAGCTTATGCCATACCACATTGAAAACAGCAGTTCTCCTCTGACCACCCAAGTCAAACAATGTCGGCCCGGTTAGTACTTGTGTAGACACCTAAAGTAAAAGCTGTCGTCTACTACCCATCATGGTTCACTTGGAATTATTAGCACCACCTCTATCTATACTTATTTTAATAATGTATTATTACAGAATAAAAGAAAGATAAAGACAGGAGAGATGGGTTAAAATATTTGGTCATAAAGTACTTAGATAGAAGTATGATGGATAAAATATAGTACTACACTATATTACATCGCAGTAAGGCCAGCAGAAAGTTTATTTTATTCGTTTATAGAGTTCTATTTCTTATATATAGATTATTATCTTTAATTAACATAGGCCTAACTGACCGTATTGTTTGCGGTAGAACATTGCTCGATATAAATTATCATATGTAAATCTAGAAGCTTATGTCTATATTTTCGTGAAATACCATGAATAAGATTTCATCCCTTATTATTCTATATACAGTTACGAGCGTCATGGCCTCTGTCACGGTTTGCCGGCGCCTTCCTATTGGTCGGCTACGATCACGCCACCTTTATCTGGGCTACACTATTGAAGAACTGAAAACACACAAAAGCCTACCTTTCTTTCTAACTATCTATACCTACTCGGTAGTCTGGGCTCCACCACTGGAACATACAACACAGTCTTTATGTTTTCAGGCAAAGATAATAAACCCACTATAATGTCTAGGTATAAAACAATAGCTTCTTATAGAATCTTATTTCAAATCCCAGGATCTCTAAGCGTAAATGTAAATACATAGCGTCAAAATTATTATTCTATATACAGTTACGAGCGTCATGGCCTCTGTCACGGTTTGCCGGCGCCCTCCTATTGGTCGGCTACGATCACGCCACCTTTGCCCCCCCCCCCCCATCATTTGGTGCCGCCAATGCGCGAGACACTTCTGTCACCGTTTGCTTTTGGTTCAGTGGTAGAATGCTCGCCTGCCACGCGGGCGCCCCGGGTACGATTCCCGGCCGATGGTTTGGGGCGGGACGTTTCACAAGAGTGACATCTACGGCGCCAATTTATAATTGTAACGAATATTATTTGAATAAAAGCATTTAATCGGGTAAACCCCGGGCGTTGCCCGGGTCATTCGGCTAGTATATATATAACCAGAATCTACGATACGGTATTAGAGATCTCTTAAAAGCGGCCTAGTGGAATAAATTACTGGAATAAATCAAATGATGAGCTAAACTTTCCCATTTTTTCATTAAAGTAAGAACAATATAGAAAAAGTTAGTATTATTTTAGAATGAAATTCCGTACTTAATATATCCACACCGATCAGAATTTAGAACTTTATTATTGAATATTTTAAGCAATGGGGGATTGAAACGGAGTTGTATTATGGATTATCAAAATAAGTCGCTGCCAAATACCAATCATTTTATGATGACCTAGTGAACAGATTGGGGTTTGAGGCTTCCTAAATGTTGTTTATTATTCCTAAGAACAACACACGTTTTAACACACTCTTCAATTCTATCTTTGACTCTTGGATACTACTACATCTAACCTGGTTGTTTACGTGTTGTGATGCTTCATTGAATTATACCCCGTCAAAAAGTGATATCAGCCCAGAAGTTTATTCTCCAGGTGTGGGCTTCAGTTTGCCGAAGCTGGTGTTGTGGTGTCTATATGAATCCTATTGTTTCAAACACAATGTATGGCCTAGAAATATAGACAGAGAAATGAATATCAGAAATCATACAGGTAAATTATTATGTAGAAATCCAGAATTGAGGCTATAGACACTGCAGCCCATCAGCTTTCATTATAAGCTTTTATCTCGTCCTGAACACTCCACAAGAAATTGAACATATGGTAGATTGCTTACGTGAGTTGGTATATGTATCCCAATCACCACGAAAGTTAAAACGGAGCGCAGCCTTGGTGGTTTTTCGTTCTGATTCTAAAGAGCCAGAGAAACATGTTACCACAAGTATTGGATAAAGGTTTAGAATAAATACTTATCTTCAGAAGTCTCAACCAAGCGCGCATACCTTGTCCTTGGTAGGGGCATCTGCATAAGAGATGTTTTTTAATTTTCTGGGCAGAGTAGACAAGATCAGGTGTTGGCAGTTCCAGGAGCTTGAAATTTCATAGATATATTCACGTTGGGAAATGCCAAAGCCAATATTTTTCAGCCCATAAATTTTCTTTCCATAGTTTGGAACTCGGTCGCCACCATTTCGGCAATTGATCTAATGTCTAGGTCCCTATTTTCACCCTTGATTCGCTCAACATGATTACGCCATGATCTCGCCAAGTGCCATATTTTGCAGCTCTGGCTACTCCATATAGGGTTTGAAACGTCCCTTTGCGAAGGCCAGATTTTGCAGCCCTCGCGGCTTAACGTTTTTCAATGCGACATAAATTTTTCATGAACTGTGACAATAAAATCCCATCTGCAATTTGACGCGAACATTTCATCGTTGACTTTATACTCCTATCATTTCATCTCACCCCTATCGTGAAAATATGTTGCAGGTACGTTTTTAATTGACGCTGTTAATTCAAAGCTGTTACATATATTTGATTTCACGGATCAATTATATCAAGCGAAGAACGAGCAAAACTCTCAAAAGACAATTTGAAAATTATAATCCAATCGTTATAGGTGGTTGCTCGACAATGTCAATTTCATGCTTGGATGTGTCATAAACTCTCGAACTATTTGTCCGAATATAGGGATGCATATCAGCAAAAAATAGAAGCAATCATCAGCTTTTCAGATGGCGAAATATATCCTACGCTCATTTTCGATTAGCGATGATTTTTAACAGCGACAGCGTGAACATATGGGTCCTTCGATTTGCGGAAGATATTTAAGCTTTAAATTGGACATCTGGCAATATATCGTCCAATAATAATTGATCAAATATGATGAAATAATAACACATATTGGTGTTCAGATGAGCGCGTTAATATTTCGATAGATATATGGCAAAATAGTTTGGTCTTCATGTCAGTTTCAATCTTCTGATATTGGTTGACGCCTTATATCGGCAATATAAAAATTGAATGCATTTAATTCAAGAGTAACGCAGAATGGTTCGCGCATAGGCTGCGATATGTTGACATCGGGAGGAATCGCGGAACAAATATGGTCTTCAAATCTTTTTATCTCTGATCATTTTGCTATGTCTTAAATCGGATGTCTTGAAAAATTCTTCCAAATAATATTGTAGCGTATTTGAGTCCCTGCAAATTTTTTTAGAGCAACGAAATCATTAGATCTACAATTAGATTGTTTTGATTCAATAGGCGGCTCAATATTTGGAAATATAGCTCCAAATTGAATCGAGAGCTAGGTCATTTCTTTTTAGAAGCCTTTGCGCCGTAAATTCAATGGTATATCTTGAAAGATTGCAACTTTCCAACTCGATAAAAAGTGCATAAATTATTCTCTACAGTCATAAAAATATAACATCTAACTTGAAATGAGAGTTATTAAAAATGGCTTCCAAAGATATCCATTGTTGTTTTTAAATAGCGAATAAAATTTGAAAAAATTCTTTTTTTCCCCCCATTTTAATTTCGCGTTGAATAAATATTCAGAGCAATTTGAAAGTATCTGTTGTGTCGAAATTATAAGTACAGCAACTAACACTTGAGCATGATTTTATCTAGCTCCTATTCTTTCGACTGCCTACAACAAATAATTTCTTGATTTATATACACATAAAAATTTACATAATGGCACTTTAAAGAATGCAAATCATCTATTTAGATACACAAAAGTATCCATTACAAAGGTGTTCGAATATCATCAAATACGCCGCCAAATTATCGTTTTTACATTTAAAATATAATTTGAAATAAAGTTTTTGTATTCCAATTGATTACACACAGCGCTCAACGTTAATTATTGTTTAATTAACTACAAGGTAAAAGGATTATATATAGATTAAATGGTAAACATGGAGAAAGAGAATATGTCAGCGTGGCGACGCCGCCTGCAGGGTTGCATCAACAGGAAGTGACGTCAGCTCCAGTGTTACCGAAGCCAACCGTCCGCCGCCACGGTCCAGCAATCTCCTCCCTCGAAGTGATCCCTTCTTTATGGATTACTTCGCTGTCCATAAGTCTCGAACGATGAAGTTCGTGTAGGTTTCTCCCACTTACAAGCAATTGGGGCAGTCTTTTGGTAGTTCTGTTAGTTCCCAAACTTTGTTCTTTCTCAAGGATTCCAATTCTTCTTCGTATGCTTCAAGCCAATGCTCAGCTTCAGGGCCTTGGATATCTTCTTTATACGAAGTAGGATCTCCCTTATTTACTTCAGTACTGAGGAGTTCAATTGAGTTCTGAGCATTTCTCGGGTTCCTTAGGATCATTGGATGAGATCGAGTAGGAGAAGGCTTCACAGTATCTTCATTATGGCTGTCCTCTTCTGTAGGTATCACGTCTTCTTGATCTAATAAAGACACTGAATACTATTCAATCTCCCGTTGAGTCCCATAGCTGTAGTGTTCAACTGATGGAAGCACCTCCCGGTTGCTGTCGTTCCTCGATACATCACTCTCTTTGAAGACACAGTCCCGAGATTCCACCACTTTCTTCATCTCAGGAATCCACACTCTGTAGCCACGTCCTCTGAGTGCATATCCAACAAGGTTACCTTTGACAGCTCTCCTTTCGAGTTTGGATTTACGGGCTTGTCTTGGAATATGGACAAATATTTGACAGCCAATAGCTCTTATGTGTTTAAGACTAGGCTTGTTCCCTGTCCACAGTTCATATGGCGTGCTTTCACCATTGTGATTGTTGAGAACTCTGTTTCTGACATAGGCTGCGGTGTAAGTCAGCTTCGCCCAGGAAGCCTTTAGCAGACCACTTCCAGATATAGTGCTCCTGCCAAGATCTAGGAGTGTCCTATTAATTCTTTCTGCCACACCATTCTGTTGAGGTGTATAGTCATAGTGTGTTCATGAACTATTCCAACGCTCGTGCAGAAAGTGTCCCATTCTTTGGAATAAAATTCCAAGCCATTATCCGTACGTATTCGTTTTAGTTTCCAGCTGGTTTGTTTCTCAGATTCTTGAATCCACTTTTTG